GGGGCAGGGAGTACAGGGCCAAGGTCCCAGGACACACCAGTGCAGACATTCCTGGTGCAGTGTGGCGCATGAAAGGCAGTGGCCAAAACACACTCTGCTCCCCAGCCGGGGGCTCCAGGCCTGGCTAGGAAAGTCGATGGAGGAGGAGGCAGTTTCATGGCCAAGGAGCCCAGGAAGGCTCAAATCCTTTGCAACCAAGGGGACACAAAAGATGTATGTAGTGGGGCGCAGGGTTTGCACTCAAGGCCAGGAGTAAAGCCTCCTGCTCCCTAAGTTCAGAACTTATCACCAGCCCACAGCAGGTCACAAGGATGCCAGCACAGCCCAACCTGTCACTCCTCTGTCTCCTGGGCAAGCAGCATTAGCGAGAGCTATCCACTGGTAACATGACAATCAACGAGCATCGCTGTCCCTGCATCAACAGGGGCCAGCAGAAGTAGACACAGTGGCAGCCACTCAGTGGGGATTCATTCCCCAGGTGGGGACCAAGGCTCACAGAGGCTAAAGGACTTGCTCCCACGGCCAGGAAGTGGCAAGGTGGGGACTAGATTCAGACTCTGGGGCGCTGTGTATGACCTGCACGTGCAAAGAGGTCCTCACCTCGCCAAGGCTCTCCCTCCAGATTTCCCTTCCTTCCCCTTCTGACGTCCTAATACCCTTGCATCTGAACCACTCCAAGCAGCTCCCGGATCCTGTACACACAGTCCCGTAAGTGCTTCGATGATAGTTAGCAGAGCACGAAACCCAGACCTGGGGTCCCGGCAGGCCTGGCCCTCTCTGAGCCCCACCCCGGTGGCCGGGTGGGGGAGAGCACGCCCACCTCCCAGGGCAGGTGAGGCTCTTAAACGAGACCTCCTTGCCCATAATGCTCTTAGCATGCTGGCTGGCATACAGCAATCACTGAGTTAGGGATCCCTTCGAATGCCGGCATCACGCTTATCTGTCCTCATCATCCGCCTGCAGAATCCACAAGGGAGAGCACCAGGCCCTCCCTCCGCCTGCCCACCCCCACCTCTGATGCCCACCCTGGGGCCCCCCCACGCACTGCAGGAGCTCAGTGGGCGCTAACCCACGCTCTGTCCCCAGCAGAGATCCCGAGTGGAGAAGGGCTGTGCCCTGACCCCTGTCCCAAAGGAGGAGACAAGCATCCCGGCCGTTCCCAGCCCACAGCCTTCCAGCTCTAATCAAGGAGCAAACACAACGATGGGCTCTCTAAACATTTAGAAAACGCGGGAACTCTGGGCCCCACGTGGCACCGTGGGGATTTATAAGGAACAAATCATGCCTGACAAACTTGATAGCTTTTTTGATAGAATTACAAGACTGGTAGATGAAGGAAATGCAGGCAGGGTAATATATCTTGATTTTTAGCAAAGCATTTGATAACAGCGCCTCGAGTAATCTTACAAAATTAATTCAAACAGACTTGGCCCTAAGCACTTGCCATGTGGCCAAAGGCAAGAGGGGGCAGGTCCCAGGGGTCCCAGGTGGAGGAGGCAGCCCGGGGTGAAGGGGCTGAGGGACAGAGTCTGGGAGTGGGGGCAGGGCTGCCAAGACCCAGCGCTGGGTCAGGCCTTACCTAACATCTTCATTAATGGTCCTGAGAGAGGGAGTAAACAGTCCGTTAATGAAATTTGCAGAGGATATTAAACTGGAAGGTGTTGTGAACACCAATGAGGATGGCAAAACGGTCCAGAGAGACCCGGGGGGGTGGGGGTGGGGAAGAGCTTTGGCAGGAAACTGAGAGCATGGGGGGAGGGCGGGGGGGGGGGGGTGCCGGCCAGCAACTGGGGCTACCTGGAGAGCCAGGGAAGAAGGAAGGGCATCCCAGGGCTCACGAGGAGCTGGGAGCGGCCACAGCCAGCTTGGCTCTGGCCAAAGAGGCAACCCCAGGAATCTCAGTTTTCCTATCTGTAAAATAGAAGGGCTGGCAGAAAGGATGTCTTGCAGCTCTAAGGGTCTGTTATCTTTCTGGAGAGTTACTCATCCCTCTTGGGCAGATCATCAAGAGGGAGATGCCTGTCCAGCCAGGTGAACTAGCCTCTCCCGGAGCAAGGAGAGTCACCCCAATCCTGCCCCTCTGACCTCAGAGCTGGGACCTCTCCTGCTCCTCTCCCTCTCACCGGGCACCAAGCAGGCTAAGGCAAAAAGCTGCCCCTTCATCTGGACTTGGGTTTGTTCCCACAAGGCTCCTTGAGCGGTGGGGTCTCAACAGGAGCCAGGGCTCCCTAGCATAGTGCCAGGCCCCCCACAACCTAAATAAATGCTCCGTGGGAGGGAGAAACGGATGGCTGGTTCCCAGCTGGGGGTGTACCGGGGTTGCCTCGGGCAGCTTTGCCAGAGCAGGGGGCCAGCCCTGCCAGATGTCGAGGCCACCTATCAGGACACAGAGGATGGATCCAGGTGAAGATGCTGGGGGAGTTTCTTCCAAGCTCCTGAATTAGTAATAATGACACTGACTGAACACTTACTATGGCTTCGTTCAGAGTGTGTTCCCCAGATTAACACATTTGACCTTCACGACAGCCCTATGAGGTGGGTCCTCTTATTTTCTCCATTCCACAGGGAGGGAAACTGAGGCACAGAGTAGCAGCCAGGAGCCTTGGCACCCAGCCAGAAGGCCCATGGGAGGAGCGGCAGCCTGCCAGGTGCTACAGTGGGAGATGAGCAGCTCCTGATGGGGGACCCCCGGGGGTGGGAAGAGGCAGCCCCTCCTACGGAGCCCCCAGAGCCTTGCCCAGCCTCTACCTGTCCCCCTTAACAGGAGTTGGTCCAACTCCTGACACACTTGTGGAGCCTGATTTTACTATGTTTCCCTCTCCCCTACCACTGCCGAGCTACACCAAGTCCTCTGAACAAGTCTGTTTCCATGGAAACCATACAGTGACTCAGGGCTTCGGGACCTTCTCTGAACCAGATTATGAATATCAAATGCTCCCTCCCCGCACCGATGCAGAGTGAGTTGGAAAAGTAGAGACACAGTGGGCAAGAGAGGAAGACAGGGAAGTGAGCAAGGAGAAGCCGGGGCGGGGGGGGGCAGGGCACAAGCCTGGCCCCCCCAGTGACAACCTGACATCTGGGTCCCCTGCAGACTCGATGGAGCACAGATGTACATCTCTGCGTGTGCAGAGCCAGCACACACACGCCCCAACGTCAGCACCAGCCTTCCCAAGGAGCTAGGGTCCTAGCGGGGAGGGAGGGGGCAGGGAAGCAAGGGGGCTTGACATTTCTCCTAGTGGGGACCTCACATGGCAGAGGGGGCCGAGGGGCCAGGGCTGAGGGAAGCGGTCTAAGGAGTTCGCCTTCAGATGCCACGGAGGAAACCTCTGGCCAAAAGCATTACAATATTCAGCAAAGAGGGAAATTTGGATTTTCAAGGGGAAATGTGCTTCTGCATAGAGATGAGGAGGCTGAGTGTTAGCCTATGTTCCCCGAGGAAGCACTGGTCGTAATTTCAAAGCCCCCCCCCCCACAGCTGCGGGGATGGGGAATCATTAGCACAGACTTCCTCTAACTTGCCCCCCACCCTCGCCTGTTCACCTGCTCTGATTGGGACAATAGCAGAGAAATCAAAGTTTGCAGTGCCAGACTCCTGGTCTCCCACAGGGGACTAAAGCCCCCAAATCCACACCCCCTCCTTTCGCCAGCAGCTCCCTGAAGACCCAGGAGGGAGGGAAGAGAAGAGGTTGGAGGCTTGATACCTCCCGGGTGAATCCGGTGTGAGTCATGGCGGTGAGAGCCCTTGGAAAAAGAAACAGGGTCACCCCGATGCCTGTCAGTGCCCCCAGCTGCTGGGGACTGGAGTCAGAAGCTGCCTGCCCAGGTAAGCTCTCTGCCTGAGGCATCCGGCCCCACCTTGAGGGGTTGAGCAACTCCCGAAGACAGGAACCTGGTACCTCGGCCCCCACCTGCTTGCCTCTAACATCTACTGGTGCCTCTGGCTTGCCAAAGCAGCCACCTGCCTGCCCAGGGTGCCCACCTCCTGCCCTCAGTCCTAGGTCCACTCTGCTCACCACCCTTACCAGCCCTCGGAAAGATGCCGGGCTCAATGTCTGTCCAAAGATGCTGGGCTCAAACTCCTGCCTTCACCTCTGTGTCCACAGTACCCACCCACCCTCTGGCACCTGGAACCCCCAACTGCCCTTCTTAGGAGTCCCCGGCTTAGGAGCCGTTTAAGTCTATGGAAGAAAACTGGCACCAGAGGTGAGGAACCTAATCCTGGGGAAGGGCAGGCCCTGGACGGGGAAAGGGGGCACCCTATGGCATCGAAAATCAGGGCACCAAGATGCCACCCTAGGAGAACCCTCAAGTCTTACCATTTAACCCCTAGCTTACCAGCCAGGGCTATTCAGGGCTGTTACTGTGAAAGCAAGCAGCGGGTTCCCAGAGCCTGGGAAGAGGTGCTCCGGGCGTCCTACCCAGAGAAAAGCGGGAGGCTGGCTTTCGCTTCCCGTGGAGGGCTCTGCACCAGCCAGGGGCCCGGGCCCCACGGGGAGCCAGCCAGCTCATCGCAAAGTGGTCGTGCGGGTTCGGTTCAGAGCCGGGACTGGGAACAGCAAGCCGGGCGGGGAGAGGGGGGCAGCCCCTGTCTTTAAGTGCAGTCCTGGTTTGGAAAGTTGGTGCAGGTGTGGGGACCTCAGGTTCTCGAGACGGACTCAGCAGCCCAGAGCCAGGGGGGGTGTGGGACAGTGAGCCCAGGCAGCCCCCGAGTCTCCGCAGCGGTGGGGAGCTGGGCGCCTTAGGGACGCAGCGCGTCTCAAGTTTTGCTGCCCTCCCTGAATGGGGGCAGGGAGGGCTGGGGCTATCACAGCGCTCAACCGCCACTAGCCCAGGGAGCCTCGTCTTGCGCGCAACACGCTGCTACCTACCCCGGCCCCACACGGTCAGTAGCGACTGTCCCGGATTATAGGGGCGTCTCCCACCGCGCCCGCGCCCCTCCCGACTGCAGCAGCGAGTGTCCGCTCCCTCCCGCCCCGAGGCCAGCCGGGCCCGGCCGATACCTGGTCGGGGGCACACCGGGAGCCGCTGCAGCGCCCCGCACCGGCTCCATCCTCGGGTCTGGAGTCAGGCTCGCCCGGGCTCAGCGGGCGACGGTGGCGGCGGCATATTCCGCCTCCCGCGCCCTCCTCTTCGGCCTCCCTCCTCCGCCTCCGCCTCCGTAAGCCCCTCACGGGCCCCTCTTCATGGCCCGGAGACGCGATCCCGGGGCGGCTCGGCCGGCGGAGAGCTTTCTCCGGGGCAGCGCGCGGGACCTGGGACCGAGGGGCGCCCGGCCAGCGGCCGGATCCCAGAGCGCCGCAGCCCGGGCGCCGGAGAAAAGCAGCAGCCGCGGGCGCCGGACCCTCACCGAGCGCCCTGCGCCCCGAGCCCAGAGCGGCGGCGGCGGCGGCGGCGGCGGCTACAGCGCCGAGCGAGCGGCGGGTGCTGCGGTCCGGGCTCCACCCCCAAAGCCGCCCGCCCCTCCGTGGCTGCCCGCCCCCTGCTCTTCCCCACCCAGCCAGCGCGCGCCCTCCGCTCCCCGCGCCGCCTCGCCCGCTCCCCGCTTTCCCCGCCCCGCCGGTCCGGCGCTGCCCTAGCCACCGCGCTGCGGACACCCCTCGGCAGGCGGGCTCCGGCGCCAGCCCCCACCTACCCCCGAGAAGAGCCACACCCACACCCCGGGTTTTGGAAGGCCGGCGAGCGTAGACGCAGACTGTCCGCGGCACCTTTTCCCCTACCCTCCCACCCATCCTCCACCGCCGGCGCTCACCGAGGGCCTTCCGCCTGAGTGCCCTCTTCAAGTCCCTTGGGAGCCCCAGCCTGGCCCGTGGCCCAGCTGTCCTCTACCTCTTCCCCATCCAGTGCAACGGAGGGACTCCAGAACCCAGAACGAGAGCCAACCACCTTTCAGTGCCAATGCCCCAACACACACCCCGAGCCCATCCCTCCATCCCTTTACTTCTCAGGTGTGGAAATGAATCCAGTTGTGCCTTTTGGGCAGGGTCAAGGAGGGGCTTAGGTGGTGTTAGAGCGGATTTGCTGGCAGACAGCCTTGCAGGCCAGTCCTGCACCCCGCCAGTCCCCTTCCTACCCGACTGCTGCTGCCTTGCTGGGACTCCGGAGCCACTGCTGCACTTATGCAGAGAGACCTGGGCCCCTCAAGTCCTTCTTTCTTTGCGTAAATATTAACTGGACATCTCCCACAGGCCAGGCCTGCATGGGCACCAGGGGCCCGTTGGTGACAAGACAGACTCCTGGCCTCCCAGAGTGTAGTGGAGAAGCTCAGCAAACAGGCGGAGAACACCATGTGATCAGTGGCCCCTGGGCCGGAGAGGACACAGGAGTCCCGGCTCTGCCACCACCTCTGGCTGTGCCGGGCTGGCCACCTTGAAGGCTTGTCTCCTGATCTGGAAGATGGAGATACTGGTCCCCTCCTCACAGAGCTACTGTAAAACACCGGATGGAAAAACGCCTGTCAAGCACTCAGCACAGTGTCTGGCACATGCTAAGTGCTTAATAATTGTGCAGTGTTGATACTGTTATTGGCTGGTCGGGATTCAGGGCAGCCAGAGCAAATATCCACTTGGTCACCCAGAGGAAAATGTGGCCTCTGTGCTCCTGTGGAGGACTGGGGACTCGGGCCATCAAGTCCCTCTGTGTATACCCAGAACCGGATGGCATCAAGGCGCCTGCCTCCAGGGTCCCACCAGACCAAAATGGTGGGGTGTCTTGGTCACAGCGGCAAATTCGTAATATTAAACTCCCACCACCACCACCCACCCCCGCGATGGATCCCCATCAAGCCAGAGTGTGGACCAGTGGGATCCCAAGTCGCCTTCCAGTGTTTTCTCACAGCAGCGACAGCAGCCCGGCCCCAGCCCTGCCCACCTGCCCGCCACCCACGGCAGCCAGGGTAGGAGCGCCAGTCCTCAATCCTGACTGCAAGGTGACCAGATCTGTTTCCCCGCCTGCCCCGGAAGGAATAGCAGTGCTCTGAGGTGCCTAAGGAGAGTGCTGACCTTCCACAGCAAGGACTTCGTGTTTCAGAATCCGGTTTGTCCCTCCACAGAAGACCAACTTCTGAAAGCCCAGAGCTGAGCCATCAGAACCTTCGCCCTCCCCCAGAGCAGATCCCCCTCCTCCCCAAGTCTCAGCCTGACAGGAGCAGTGAGGGTTTAGAGAGCACTTTCTCTATCTCGCACTCTCAGACCCAGCGCCTCATTTTTCAAACTCTCGTGTACTTTGGGCGGAGAAGACGGAAGCGTACATCTGGCTGACATGAAAAGATTGGTGTGGTTGTAATGTAAAGACAGAGTGGAATTTGGACGTATGTTTTTTTTTAAGACCATTTAAACTCTAAAAATAGACAAAACGCCTCATCTCGAGAACACCAGGATCCTGCCTCCAGTTTCCTGGAATCTCCCAGGTGACGAGCCTAAGTGTTTCATGAGTACCTACTGTGTGCACTACACTCGGGCAAGTGGTGTAGGGGAAAGAGAGGAGGGAGAAAGCAGAAGCAGAGGCCTTTGTTCGGGGAATGTTGAGCCCACACAATGAAACCGCAAAGAACAGTTGCTGAAAACGTAACTGAGTCCAAAATACCTAGCCTTCGAAGTCAGAAGAAGGTGGAGCCTTGGAGAGTCATTCAGGGAAGGCTTCCTGGAGGAGGCAGTTACACTGAGGCTTGAGGGATGGATGGGGGTAAAAAGGCAGGAGAGCCTGTGAGAGAGAGGAAGCAGCTGCCAGATGGAGCTTATTGATGAGATAATAGGGAGATTAATATTAACGGTTAATATTTGAGATATTACCCTGGGCTTGGCACTGTGCTATTTGTTTTGTGTGGGTTCTATTGTTTAACTCTTAAAACAACCCTGTGAAGTAGGTGTTACCATTCCCAGTTTACAGACAAGGAAACCGAAAGCCAAAGAGATTAGGCAGCTCACCCAGGTCTGCAGAGCTGGTGAGCAGCAGAGCCAGGAGTTACCAAATCTTTCGGACTGTAAAACACACCGGACCAAAAGACTCACCCAGGTTTTAGAGGAGGGAAACAGGGAAAATTTTTTGAAGAAAAAAATGTGGTAAAATATTTAATAACATAAATAGCATAGGCCACCGCCACCCCACCCCCACCCCCCGCAAGCCAGGTAAGCTACATTCAGACTATAAGATGCACGCCCCCCTTCCTCCCAAATTTGGGGGGTGCATCTTATAGTCCGAAAAAAATTACAACAGTCTGGCTGCACGCCTCACCACTGCGCTGGGCAGAGTGTGGCACCCTGACTCTAGCGGGGGCGCCCTCAGGGAGGGACAGGTGCCCCCAGAGAGGGACAGGTGGCGGAGTGGGCCCGGGAGGACAAAGGCAGGGGGAGGGCCGTCAGAGCCCCAGACAGGGGGTGTTTCCTGAAATAAAGCCCCCACAACCTCCTGGGAAATCTAAAATGAGGCATTCCCTCTTCTCCCCCCAGCAGGCAGATCTCTGGGGGTTGGAAATTAGTTAAGGGATTTGGGGGCTCAAGGCTTCGGCTTTTTAATATCTCCTGCCTGCTCAGGCGGTGGCAGTGTGCGCCACCCACCTTGTTATTTCAGTCTGTTCGGGGAGATTGATGGCCTGGGCTTTGATTTAAGATCTGTGTCTACGATCCTCAATTTCCCCTGTCTCACGGGGGACAATGACAAGGCAGCCATCGCGCAGAGGATGGCTTCTTCCCGAACGTCAGGCCTGAGAGCTCCCAGCACCTGGAGAAAAAGTTCCCACCGAAACAACCCGGGCAGAGGAAGCCAAGCGCAGGGCATCCGTCTCCTGGAGCCTCAGTTTCCCCATGGATGGCGTGCAAGGGCTGCCGCAGAGGAGGCCCACTCAGTAACATTAGGCTTGGGGGAGCCCTCAGGGGTAAGCTGAACAAACCCCCTCGTTTCACAGATGAGCGAACTGCGGCCCAGAGAGGTTAGGCGACTTACCTGAGGACAACAGGAAGGGAACTGAGCCTTCAGCTGGGTCTCCAGCTGTTTCAGAAAAAGGACTTACGTGTCTTTTATCCCTCAGCCTGCCCTGTTTTAGGTGAATTCTTGCTCTTGTGAATGAAGGGACCTGAACTCCTCTGTGGTGGAAATAAAACAAATATTTGAGGACCTTCCCTCAGGCCAGATATTAAACTTGTCCCTCAGATATGTATGATCCTATTCCTTTCTCATAAGCTCTCCATGGATCGCTGGGCCCAGAGTCACCAGGCCTGGCCAGATCCTGGATTCAAAAGACAACATCCTTTTGGCCAAAACCCTAAAATTGCTGTCCTTGCCCTTGAAGTCACCTCACTGCCCCATTGGCAAGGGTTTCCAGGAATCCTCCAAAGGGATGTTGCATTGCTCCCAGACCAGCCTACCAGCGACAGTCACCACTGGCCATCTGCCATACTTGTCTGCCCCTGCCCTAGAATTTTCCAAAGACCCTGAGGCTACCTGAGGGAATAGCCCACCCCCCTCCATTCCTCCCTTGTGATTACAGCCTGTGGAGAAGCTAATGTCCAAGCCAAGGGGGACCCCTGATGCTCCCGTAGCCCCAGTCCCTGGGCTGCCAGAGGCTGGGAGAGCAGCATCTCCCCGAACACAGGGGCCCTGGGTCCCCAAGGTCCCCAAGCTTAACTGCTTGTTCCCCAGTTTCCCAAGACCTCTTTAAAAAGAGCTTGTCCTACTGGTGGCTTTAACTTCTAAGCCCTAGTCTCAAATGTAAGCCAAGGGGCCAGGGTGGAGGGGGTCCGTTCCCGCCTTCCTCCTTGGACTTCTTAGAACCACCCGCAACAGACGGCCCCTCTCATTCTCCAGTCACGGAGCAGCATGTCCCGAGTAAATCAGAGGATATGCCAGCTAATCTGGTGGATGGAAGGAAACAGGGAACCTGAGCAATTTGCTTCTGGCAAGTAGCTAACTCACAACACGTCTGCTGCGCAGACCATCACGGCCACCCCAGGACTTGTCCCCGTGGTGGGAGTCCGGAGTGAGCTGTGTTGGCCCGCAGCCCATTGAAGATGGCCCCAACCCCACCTCCAGGCTTCCATCTCCTCTCCCCCGGCCTCACGTGGTCCAGCCCAATCTGGCCAAGGTGAGTCTCGTTCAAGCCCCGAAATTTCTGGGAGCAAGGAGAGGTCGGAGAGGCCAGCCTGCTCCAGCTGCCCTCTGGGGAAGAGGTCCAACAGAGGAGCTAGCTGACCTTCCCTAAGCCACTTGGCTCGCATTACCACCATCGCCCCCTGGAGGCCCAGTCTGAGGAAGATTGCGGGGTGCTCTGGGGACCAGCGCTTGCCCAGCACTTCCCAGAGCCTGCCTGCCGGGACGTGGAGAGGTGGCCACAGGGCCACCGTCCATCTGAAGGAGGTTTCTGCCTCAGGCTCCCCACCTAGGCCAGACCCTGAGACACGCA